AGCCACCTCTGGGGTGGAACACGGGGGCTGTTTATACAGTGATCCCTTGTCCGGTGCTGAGATGTAGCCGCCTCTGGGGTGGAACACGGGGGCTGTTTATACAGTGATCCCTTGTCCGGTGCTGAGATGTAGCTGCCTCTGGGGTGGAGTAGGGGGACATGAGAACACAAGGTAGTTCCACCCCAAGGAGAGATGGAGGGGGCACAGGACCGTACCACCAATGGGAACGCATGCATGCACGGGGGGGGGAACGCCGAGCCACACCATACCCAGGGAAGGGAGAAATCAAGGCATAGCACTATTGCAGCACAAATGGGGGAGCCTAAATTCCACAATGGGGGAGTACAGGGGCCCCAGATGCTACCTCCCAGGGCAGGCAGGTGCAGGGTAACCCTGGACTGTGCCATGGGGGCTCGGAGGGGAACATCACACTCAACTCCAGCCTGGCAGGTGCAGAGAATCCTGAAACATGCCACTTGGGGGGGGGGGGGGGGGGGGGGGGGGGGGGGACACCCTGGACAGTCCCATTTCAGCTCGGTGGGATTTAAGCTGCACCTCCAGGCTAACAAGTTCAAGGAGAACGCAGACTGTACCACTTTGGCCCAGCCCCAGAGGCCTGGCCATTGCAGGGTAACCCCAGACCATACCACTACATCTCAAGGGGACCACAGACAGTACCATTTCGGCTGGGGGGGGGGACCCAGCCTTCACCCCCAGGCCTGGCAGAAGCAGTGTAACCCCAGACTGTGCCACTCCAGCTCGGGGGGACCCAGGCTGCACCCCCAGACCTGGCAGGAGTAGGGTAACCCTGGACTGTACCACTCTGGCTCGGGGGGAGGGGAACCCAGGCTGCACCCCCAGGCCTGGCAGGAGTAGGGTAACCCTGGACTGTACCACTGTGGCTCGGGGGGGGAGGGGGAGAGACCCAGGCTGCACCCCCAGGCCTGGCAGATGGCCCCGGACCGTACCATTTCGCGTCGGGGATTCCCCGCCGCGTCACTCACCCAGCGAGGGGATCCCCCCCAGCTCCCGCACCTGGGCCCGGCTCCCCCCCTCGGTGCAGCAGTTGCCCAGGATGCTGAGGGCCAGGTCGAGGGTGCGGCGGGGCCGGAGGGCCCCAGCCAGGAGCCCCAGCAGGGGCCCCAGCCCCCCGCGGGCCCGGAACCGCTCGATCCCGCCGGGCTGCTTGATGTGCCGGGTCCGCAGGGCCAGCAGGGCCCGGCCCAGCCCGGGCTCGGCCCCGCCCCGCAGCTGGGCCAGGCAATAGCCCAGCGACTCGGCGGGGCAGCTGCCCCCGGCTGCGGCGGCCATCGCGGGAGAGGCCCAAGGGCAAGAGCAAAGGGGGAAGGGGGAGCCTTGAACGGGGTCCGGACCCCGGGGCATTGTGGGAGTTGTAGTTCGGGGCCCCCCAGGGACTGCGCTAAAGGCGACCGGAGGAACTACAACTCCCATGAGGGGCGGCGCCGGCGCGGGGAGAGCGCGATGCATTGTGGGGGCTGTAGTTCTGCTGCCCGCGGGAGCTAAAGGGAAAGGACTACAGCTCCCAGAAGGCATAGCGCCGCCGGGGGGCGGGGCAGGGAGCAATCCTCACGTCAGCTGGGGGAGTGGGTGCGGGGGCTGTTACACTGCCCTGGGGTCTCCCATCTACCTGGCGCTGACGAGTGGGGAGGAGTCAACAGGGAGGGGGAGGAGCCACAGAGAACCAGTGGGCGGGGTCAGAATGTTAAATAGCTGCTGTCACCCACCCTAGAGCTGGCTGCATGATGCTAACTTTAATCCGGGAGCCAGCACTCCTGGGTCCTGTCCCCGGCTCTAGGCAGCCTGGGGAGTGGGTTCGAGGGGGCGTGGGAGCCAGGACTCTTGGATTCTGTCATTGGCTGACTGGCTGACTCCCTTCCCCTGTTGGTGCCTCACTTTCCGCACATGCAACACCAGGAGAAGATGCCCGACTGCAGTGGGGAGTAAACTTACTATAGGCAGGGCTGAAAGCCCAGCTAGGCATCAGCACCACACGCACTGGGTGTGGGGCCCACAGGTTGGGGCGGGGCAGCTGCACCCTAGGCTCCTGTTTGGCACCAGTTCCCCTAGCATTGCATCAGGGAGTTGGGAGGAACCACAGAGAAGACGGGAACCCACTGCCCCAGGGTATGATCGTAGACTCATAGGGTTAGAAGGGACTGTAAGCGTCATCTGGCCTAACCCCCTGCAGATGCCCAATAGACCCCACTCTCCTGCCAGAACTGGGGATAGAACCCAGGAGTCCTGGTTCCCATGCGCCCTCCAAACCACTAGACCCCATCCCTATCATCTCTTCTCCCCGAGGGCGCTAACCCCTCAGGGGCGCTGGGCCCCTGGAGAGAGACAGGGGTTATAAGCAAGGACAGCATGACCTCTGTCTGCACCACCCCCAGGCCTGTTGGGGTGAAGCGCAGCAGAGTTTACACTGTCAGCAGCTGCCTGTTTATAGGCTCCCAGCTAGGAGAGGAAGACTCTTCCCTCTGGGTACAGCACAGACCAGTTCCCACAAGCTGGCCCAGTTATCCAAACTGGTTCCCAGTCAGACTTGTGGATGCTACAGACAAAGAGAGAGAGTCCTCTGTCCCCTGTCCCCACATGCCTTTGAGATCTGAGCCCCCCAACCCCAACTGGCCCTGAGTCCAGACCCCCTGGTTTAACTCATTTGACTCCACTCCCCACCCACAGCTCTGAGGAGAACCCAGGAGTCCTGACTCCCCACCCTCCCCCATCCCACTCACTACACTAACCCACTAGACCTTGTCCCCCATTCATGACTGTCATGGTCAGTACAGGTCACAGTGGGGAAGCAGCCAACCTTGCGAATTTAAAATCCTTGGTTGGGGCCGTGGCGTGTCACCAAAATGATCTGGCCTCGCCCTCCTGCCTTGTTTCCAGAGAGTCCCAGCAACGCCACATCTCCAGGCTAGAGAACCAGTCGGGGCAGGGGTGCGGGATAGAGACTAACTTTGACCCTTCTTGCACCCCGTCCTGGGACCAGGATACCTGGTTCTCTCCCTGGCTCTGGGAGGGGAGTGGGGTCTAGTAGGTGAGATGGGAGGTTGTGAGTGAGGACTCCTGGGTTCTAGCCCCAGCTGAGGGGATCAAGGAAGTCTTCTGGCTCCGGGAGACCTGTGGGTATTCCCCATCTGTTGAGCAGGGTGTACGAACGACACCAGCCCGACGCTGTTGTGAGTCAGTCCCAGCCGGTAGCGTTGGGAATGAGAAGCTGTAAACCCAGGAAGCACGGTTGCTCCATCCGCCCAGCTTGAGTTTCAGCAGATGGGGAAACAGATCAGGGTATCATGGGGTGACGGGAGATGACATCAGCATCTTCGCCTTGCACAACCCTCAGGGGGCTATGAACACACCTGGCTGTTCAGTAGAGGGGGCTGGCCCAATGCCCCAGAGCAGCACTAGGGGGCACTGTGCTGCAGGGAGCAGAGTGGGGGCTCAATAGAGGGCACTCTCCCACTGTAGTCAGTCTGACCCCAAAGCCCCAGTGCAGCACTAGGGGGTGCTGTGGTGCAGGGAGTGGAGTGGGAGGGGCTCAATAGGGGGCGCTCTCTATCCTCTGAGTGCCAATAGCGGAGGGTGGCAAAAATCTAGTCTAATAATTTAGGGGTGGGGGCTGAGAGCCAGGGTGCCTGGGTTCTGTCCTCAGCTCTGACAGGGGAGTGGGATCTAGTGGCTTAGAGCAGGAGGGACTCCTGTCCTGGGTCCCACCCCCAGCTCCAGGCGGGCAACACCGGACAGTGGTTCAGGGACATCCGCTCACCCCGAGGTGCCCTTCCAGCAGCGGGGGACGTGCTCTTCCCCACGCTGGGCTGCCCTGTGTCACTTCCTTCTTGCGCCATCTCCCCCGCACAGCCCTTCCAAGAAGAGCGAGAGTCGAAATGGGCATCTGGGGCCAGCTCCCCCCACAGGGGGCGCCCACAGCCTCCCAGGGGGTGGCCCTGGCACCGGGGGCTGGTGCTCTAAGGGA